CCAATGGCATCCTGGCCTGTATCAGAAACAGTGTGGCCAGCAGGAGTAGGGAACATTTTTATAACCTTGACTATATGTAAAGCTCACAAAGTAAACGTGACAAGCTACTTAAGCTTCATGCTTTTACTCCTGTAATCAGGAGAAATACTGGAAGTTACACAACTGTTTCTAAAAGACAAATAAGGAAGTTCAGAAACTAATCTGAAGTTTGGAGTAAGGCATCTGTATCTATCAGATCAATGTTTCAGAAAGAGTTGGGGCAGGAAGTGACAGGCTCCTCACCACTGGATGGCAAAACTCCATATAATCACAGGGGACAAGTGGCAGGTAAACGTGAGACAGAAAAGAAGAAACGAAAAGGCAAGGAAGGAACAGATTGTCCACAACAGATACTGCTGACATTTTTAAGAACAGATGGCAACAGACAGTGATGTGATACAAGGCACTCAGTTCCCAGAGATTTGGCAGTCCTCAAAATAGCAGGATGGCTTTTACAGTAACCTGACTCCAATGCATATTCTTCTAAGGAAGCAATAGGTGAGAAGATATTTTCATACACTGCACTGACTGGTTTGACAGCTGTCAAGACAGAAGACTGAGAAGTTGTAAGGATTAGTATGAGGCAGGAAAGCTTTCTGGCATTGCACAGCGAAGACCCTAAATCTGCAGGTCCTGAGGGCCATACAGCAGCCATGCAAATTATCTGCCAACACCAGTGACTGCTCAGTTCAGTCATGTTCATTATAAAAAATATATTGTTCATAATAAAAAAAAACCGCACACACGCACATTCATACATATCTCAAGACATAACAGAGGAGAAAAACCCCAAGCCCTTTTAAGTGTTCAAGAGCCAAAGTACGCTATCAGCAATTGGCTCCAAATTTAATCCAATGTTTTCAGACAGATGGAATTTAAGCAAGAAATTCTGGTGTTTTAGCTCTACAACTTCTGTTTGATTTAAAATAGAAACAACGCAAGCAAACCAGTGTTTATTTACTCAGAGAAAAACTGATTCTCACTTATTAACTTCAACGACCATAAAAATTACATACAGTTAGTGACTTCAACTGTTTCTGGTCAAGACAAAAAAACCCACAAAAACAAACACACACAAACAGAAAACAATAGATCCCTTTTTCTCTTTTCTCTAAATAAAAAGGGGGTGCAACATGACAAAGAACTGCTTTTCAGCTCTCAGTCATTTCCTAAAGGAATTATTGAGATTATTCTAGCTAAAATGAAAATATTCCACCACACTTGCACAAAAAAGCTACTTTTGTCATGGGTCAGCTCAATGCCTCGGTGCATTTTGATTGTCAATGCTTAAAGTACTTTCCAGTGTCTTTTGCTGAAGAGATACGTAATGGGCAGAGTACTTGATTTTAAATTACTTTATCAGAGTACATAAGTTAAGCCAGAAACACCAGTGCCTAATGCAAATATACTTTTATTCATTTTAAAAAGAGATGTATTTAATTTAAAGCATATGCCTGTGTATCCACCCTACCTCATACATCTGAATGACTCAGCACTTACCCACAAAACCAGCTGTCATTATTTTAAACCACAACATAATGGGCTATGTCCATTACCAATAAAATGTTACCAAATAAAGCATCTTGGAAAAATCACCTGTATACTACAGGCTTCACAGACCTCAAGACAACAGGAAACGTTCATTTGTGTTTTCTGCAGCCACCCTTTTTTTTTTTTTAAGCACACAAAATCCAAAATTCTGATCAACTCAAGAATTAGGGAAATTTAATTCTCATTTACTGGAAGCTCCACATGGCAAAGCTCAGCCTTACTAATGCAGAGAAGCTGGTCAGACATCAATTGCAAGAATGGAAGGCAATCCTTGCTCAGAGTCTCTCCATAACTGAAACAACCTGAAGAGAGGATCATTTTTCTTACTCACGTAGTAAAGAGGGAGCTAGAAATGTCTTGGGATATAGGAGGCCCCATATCAAAGAGCTGATGGTCTGATGACAAGCAATTCATCTCATCTAAATGTACTATTACTCAGCAGGCAATGTTCACTGCTTTTCACCCGACGTCTAACATGCAGAAAATACATCAGCCCACCCACATTTTCACAATGCCTCTGCCACCACTGAAAATTGATCTTTTTGAGGTGAAAATCTGTGAAGCAGACCCTCAGGAATGCACGTGGCAGCAAACACCAACACCACACAAAGTGTCTTGCAGTCTGGAAAAGCAGAAGTTGTGCAGGGGATGACCAGGGAGTGTGTGCATGTCCCTGTGTGACCACAGGGCCCGGCGGCAGCGCCTGGGACATCCAGCTCAGGATACCTGAGTGCTCGCCACTCTGCTGAATTCAGCTGAGGCCAGCTGGTCAGGCAAGCCAAGGGCTAAGCACACAGGGGAGTGGAAAAAAAAAAAAACAAACCAAAAATATAGGGAGTTTCTGCCGTGAATGCCACGCAGAAAGAAGACAAACTCCAATGGCCAGTTGGAGGCAACCCAGGGGCTAAGCACACAGGGGAGGGGAAAAAAAAAAAAACAAACCAAAAATATAGGGAGTTTCTGCCGTGAATGCCACGCAGAAAGAAGACAAACTCCAATAAGGCTAGAACCATGCAAAAGCAAGTCTGACCAGTCCTCTGAGATGCTCCCACTTTTACTATTCAGTATCTGACAGTTTCACTGCTTTTGCTGTTGATGTGTGGTTCTTGTAGGAAACAGCTTACTCTGGCATGTTGGTTACATGCAGATTCTGCAATCCACCTGCCATTGTACTGTTGCACTTCTATGCAAAGAAGTTGCTCGGCTTGTCCAGAATAAGACATTGCATTTGCCTGCCATTTCGGTTTTCACGATCATCTGCTTTCTCACACAAACCAACATTCCTGCTTATACTGGTCTACATTTGCATCTCTGCATGTGAAAAAAATTATCTTGCATCAAGTCACACCTTGCCAATTAAACAGAACTCTGCAAATAGATTAAATATTGTTGGCAGGTGGAATGAGTTTATGTCAGAGAAAGCAAAACACCACATATTGTGCATTAAGAGGCTTCACATATATAGCTTTTTTTTATTGTTTGCCTGTGTGAACCAGAAACTTCCAAGTGACCAACATTTACAGAGTAATTTATTGTTGTTAGGGTAAAGATCTAGCACTACATTTTCAACATAAAACCCAAGTGACTGAGTGTCACCAAAATGTATTAAGATAAAGAAGGTATCAGGATAATAAAATATATTGTAGTAAGGTAATTTCTTAAGAGTAAATTTCACAACCCACAGTTAAGAGTTTCTTTACAGGACAATTTTCTAAGGCACATGAGTTTTACCTCAAGCAGCTGAAAAAGATGGATTTACCATCCAAAACCAAAGTCATGCTCGCATCAGACAAAACTCATGTAATACACTCAAAGACGGTATCATGTTATATTACAGTCCTCTTGCCACCTGCCACAAGGTGTGTCTAACCTACATAAGGAAACTTTTGCAAGACAAAGATTGCATTAAACAGTTGTCTCAATTATTCTTTCAACAGCTGATGTTCAGAAGGCAGCCTTGTTTTTAGGCAGAAGCATTTAATGCACATATGTGCTAAAGCAAACTTTAAAAGCAGCTGCCTCAGTCAGTTTTGGAACTTTAGAGGAAACAATCAAGGACTACCACAGAGTAAAGAATTTGGGGTATTCCCAAATTCAAAGCAAAGTAATGCAGTACACTACCATGGGATGTATCAGAAGAACTGGCCAAACCTGTACAGCTGCAATGATTCGTAGTTCTCACAATCAGAAGAAAAATGTGCAGGCTGCACCAGCTCAGCAGAACCAAGAGAAGGCTTTATTTTAAATACTATGCCCATCTACTCTAACCAATTTTTACGGAACAGTGAGGTTGTCATTCCACAAGGAATAAAGAAATTGCAAAAGAGAAAAGAAGCAAAGAACCTAGCTCAAGACGACTTAGTTATTTTATAGTCAAAGATTTCCCCAAAGACCGTGCCCTTTAAATGCAGGGTGGTTATTCTTCTTTATAAGGAATGCAACAAGAGGAAAATAGTGAAACGAGAAGGACATCAGACCAACCACAGTGCTTTATATTTTGATGGGAATGCACGTATAGCCAGAAGTACCTGATGCAGTTAAAAGTAGCAAGACTGCTATTGACTGACAAATTAGTTATCAATTGTTAGAAGCACTGAAGGAGCTGCGGTAGTTTAGGGTTCCTTTATATTTGGCGTCTCTACTTGACTCACTGCAAGTCAGTACAGAACTCAAACATCAGTTATGGAAGTGACAGGAGCTGTAGGGAAATAAAACAGTGTTGCTGCTACAGCAATGGGAATTTCAAGAACATGTCTGGAGATTCTAGCCCAAAAGGAATTTTCAACAAGGAACACACATGAAAACAAACATGGATGCACAAATAAGATGTAGAGAAGGATAGGGATATACAAACTGTATTAGGACTGCTGTAAACCACTGACATCTAGAGATAGGCAAGAAAAATGCAGAATAAACTGTAGCACAAAACTTTGCATATGCAGTAATTCCTAATTCATACTTCACAATTCATATTTAATTCACTTCAGTTTTTTCCTTTAGATTTTCCCTTTTGCGCTGCTTGTGATGCACAAGGAGCATAAACCGTTTACATAGATTAACACAGCAATAGCAGACAACCATGTCGTGCGCAGATCATGTTTGACTGAAGCATTTACATCCTAGATTACACTGTAGATTTCCCATTTTCTAGTCTTTGATTCTATACTACACATTCAAGTTTAGCCACTGCTTTTCACGTGGTTCAGATCTCTAAGGCTAATCAGTGCCATACAACTGGATCTGGTGTTGGTATTCTGTGTGACAGCCAGTTAGTGAATGAAGTAGTCCACAATTTAGTAAGCTAGTGTAAATCAGTCTTAATGGCAATCCCCTCCATGGGCCATCTACATGCTGCTCTGATATAATCACAGATCCCAGGAAAGACAGAATTAGATTGTGCAGCTTCTTACCTGCAGCTCCTTTGAGACTCTCTCTAAGTGGTTAGTTATCTTTTTTATTAGGTCACTATACATCTGTTCCGAATGCTGCTGGCATACACACTTATACACACAACTGCAGAAACAAATATAGGAACAAACAATGAACTTACAACAGTTTGCAATGAAGGGTAACAGACTTCAAATTATTTTGTTCAAGTCGCAATTTAGAGGATAATAGAGTTAATTGAACGAATGCTGAACTTTTAAATACAGCCCTAAGCTTGGAATGAGCTTCAGCAGGCTCTTAAGTCTCCCCTGGAGGCCCCAGTGTGTCCATCCCATTCCCCCTCCCCGACCTCACTTTAACTTACAACGAGTTCTCTTAACAGTGCACTTCAGAACAGCCAGGATAATTCTGTCAACAGCACACTCCTAATTCTGGCTTTTGTCTCTCCTATGTGAATGAAGTCTCCATTAAAATAAGCAGGATTAATGATTATACACATATTCTAGGGCAAAACCCTTATTAAAAGAAGGGCAACACTGACAAGCAGTCATAGAAGTTGCACCAAAAGTGTGCTAGCTTTTTAAAAAGAAATGGCAAATGTTCGAAAATTACAGACCCAAGCATGTTACTCCATCCTTTGTTACTTAAATTCTAAGAAAACCCTATATTTTCATAATAAACAAAGATGCAGAGAAAGAGCAACAAAACCTGAATTTTACATTCCATGGCTTGGCTGTATTAAACTCTGGTCTCAGTGTTACCTCTGTTTTTTAAGAATGTTTTATTGCTCTCATACTGCAATACAACATACGTGCAAAATAAGTCTATGTATTGAAAACATATTTACAACAGTTGTAAAACAAATACACATATTATTTTCAGCAAGAAGTTACATTAAGGTAGTCATCATCGTCAGGACTAACACCAACATTATCTGTACCAAGCAGCTTTTACTCTTCTTGAGTGCTTTCATTCTTTGAAGTCATCATTTTGAAAGCTAGCTGCCAAAAATCAAGAGGCACGAGGAAGACTTCACCTGATATCCTGGGCAAGCCAAGTCTCCTCCCCATGCCTCTGTTCTGCTCCCCTCTCCATCCATCCCTCTGTAGGGAGTACTGTGACAGCGAGCAATTTAGGCCAGAGACTGCTCCTTAGGACATGCACAAACAAACTACTTCCAGCAAGGTCTAGATCCCAGACTTGAATTCTGCAGGTTTTTAATAGCACTGAAAGCCTAAAGTTATGGTACAGCAACACCACGTCTCTGTAAGGGAATTATGACATTCTAATTCTCTGCTGAGAAGGTGGCACAATGACAAACAAACTGGAAAGATGGGATTAAAATAACCGTAGACTTTGGGCTATTGGAATTTTCTAATGTAAGTGAGAGGTTAGGTATCAACTCCAAGTCTTCAGCGGCCAGAACAGTGCTCTCATTCAATAACTGCAACTCTCAAAGTCTTCTGGAAGAAGGTTTTACAAATGAATTATCAATAGCAGATTTATCATTCCTTTACCTTTTAGAAGTTTGTGTTTATATCCTTTGACAATTTCAAAAGCACCAAAAATACAGCATTCATCCCTTTGCAAAGTCTTCTCATTTGGCAAACCACGCTATTTCTTAAAAACCAAAAGACATCCCACACCTCTCCTACTATTATATTTTGAAAGTAATTGAGTATCTGTAGTTTGATACTATTTAAATAACAGTCAAAGTCGTCCTGTTTTTTTCACATGAAGTCTACAAATAGATCCTATTTTGGAACAAGCAAGTGCAAAAGACATTTGGTATGATGCAGTAATAGCAAAAATATCAATTTAATTTTGATCAAAGAGAGAAACACTGATAAGAAAAGCCAGACTGATTTTTGTGATCTCTTACAAATCAGCCAGCTAGGTAACAACAGCAAATGGCTGTATGTTTGTTTGCTCCGTAACTAACCAGTATATAGCCACTTCCACAAGTTGACCACTGCATTTGCAATGATGTAACTAAACTGAATTTTAAAGTACACATCTGCTTAGTGTTACATACAATATTGCTATACCTACTTCTGTAACACATTCTGTAAGTCAAACACCCATCTTCATATGTACGTGCAGAGTGTGTTTACATTTTATTTGAGCACTTCTATTTAGAGGTTCCTTCCCCATTTTCAGATCCTATTTTCAGTTCCTCACTGTGGGCTGATTCTGTGAATCATCCGTGCCCTGCTATCACCCAGAAGTCAGCAGCTTGTTAGTCCTTTAGCGTAACCAAACACCTTAGGAAAAGGAAGACCCAAGCAGGACATTAGAAAGTAAGCATTTATTGAGAGGGACAGATCCGAGATCTGTAAGTTGTCTTGAGGAACAGCGATCTAATTGCATTGTACCTGGGAGGCAGTCGTAACAGTTGCCAGAAGTACAACTTAGCTGTTCACGTTTTCCTCATCTCACTTTCCTTCACATCTCTCCGTCAATATATTTAACCCTTTTAATAGGAAGTGACTATGCACAGGCAGGCTTTGGACTCAAAGATGAAAACAGTCACTAATCACACTTTGACACCTTATGGGTAAACTGATCCGTAGTAAATATCTGCATACACATCTTTGAAGTTATCTCCTAGCTTTCACTGCTGTGGAACAGACACCTACAGCTATCACTGATCATGTCAAATATAGTAGTTTAGGTATCTAATAATATATTTTGAGTTTGCATTATGGAAACCTTGATTCCTTTAGTCAGCACGAAGACGATCAAAAAGACCACTGTATTTTCAGCTCAGTTTCACTGTAAAAAAAATATAAAAGATATGTAGCTGTTTGAACCACCTCAAAAAACATCCCATTTTCAGACTAAAGAATTAGCCTAGGGAAGCAGAGAGGATCTCAACCTCAAGTCTGCTACAGACTTTCTGTAATACTCCAAGCAAGCATCATCATTAAATTCAACAAAAAAAGCAGTTTTTCTTCCATCCTCAATCTATGTTGTTTAGATTATAAAACAAGCAAAGGGACACTCTCTAAAATAAAATAAACAAAAAAACCTCCTGGTTGGAAGAGGCCGTGTCAGAGTAATTACATCCACAGATACAATTTTTAAAGAAAACTTAAAGTGACACACTAGCTTTATCAGCAACACTACAGACAATCTTTTGTTTTGGTAAAATACATGCAACATGACACTGCATCGTGTCACCCCGATGTATAAGGGTTATCTATGAGAAACTTAAAACCCATTTTTTCCTTTAACAAATAAAACTTTTGAGCAGTAGAAAGGTGACAAAGATGAACTGCAGTTATCTGAAAACCGTAACTAGGCACAGATCTACTCTAGGTATTAAAGCATTAATTTTGCACACCTACTTTTTATCAGAGATGACTATCGAGAGATGTTGGCTTAACTCTTACTGACAGCTGTTTGCACATTGGGGATTTCAAGCTAGGAAAAGGATTTTGATTACTTACACTAAAGCTGCAAAATGTCTCTCAATTCAAATTGACCCTCTCAATTATTTACACACATGATGAAGTCTGAGTCCTGATAAAAGCAGTTCCAAAAGTTTGGAGAGGATAGAGGGAGTTTAATAAAGTTTTTAACTGGAGTTAAGAGGGAAGACTAAACACCTGCCATTCTTGAATCTGGTTCCCTAATCCAAAGTTTCAAACTGGAGAGACAAAGTGGCTAAGAGGAAGTGGGCAGGAGACAATAGAGCTGAAAGCCTCTAAAAAGGGCAATCAGTGACTGAGCTGCCAGTGTTATTTCATAGAGTGCACCACTATGGTAAAGAAAGCAGTGCTACTAGTTGTGCTGCTGGCAAAGGCCAGTAGTTTTAACGGCTTCTTGGCCAGTAAATGCAGCAGCAGCTATCCAGTTTCCATCCTATTTACCAACACCCTGGATACCTGTCACCTACAGAACAGAAATCTCCATTTTTGCCAATCTCCTAAGAAACTGCCAGGTCTCTAAAGCATTAGCATTTTGGTTTGGAGCAGAAGTGTGGTTTTGAAGCAAATCCCCCACCATCCCCACTACTGTGCACTAGCTTAGTCTGCAGGGCAGTTCTGGCATGTGACTAGATCCCTTTTAAAGCAAAGTAAACTGTATCTCCAGGCAATGTACAAATCAAATGTTCTCCAGACAAGAATGGAGATATAAAGGACTGAACTTTGTGTCAGTCCTTCAGACAGCCTCTAACTGTACATGCAGCGGGATGGCTGGGCAAGGGGGAAGTCAGACCAAATCTACCTGATATAAAACACACAAATGACAGTTTATATGGATGGACCTTGGCACCAGTTGCTTCTATTTACTTCTGCACCTCTACTGCACCAGATTGGTTCCTATTAGACATGACAAAGCAGCCTTTTGAAACATTAAGTCAAACGCCTACCATGCCAGTCTCTTCTTCCCCTTTGAGGAAAGAAATGTTGAGACTTTAATACATTTCTTCATATATTACACTAAGCAACTGTGGTGGAGCTTACTTTAATGTTAATGTTTTCAGCACTTACGCATTTTAGTTCTTTAGCATTTATTCCTGTTAACATGGGATGTCAAGATATGTATCTATTATTCACTCATTCCAACCATTTAAACAATATTGTACTTCACATAACCTTCCCACTTTCCTCCTCATAAATACAAAATATGACATATGCACAGGCTGCAAGATAAAACAAACATTTAACTTTAAAGGAAAAAAAAAAAGTAATGTAGCACTTACAAGATTTCCTTACCTGTATATTTGTTCATAGGAGATAGGGATGTAGTCACCAGGACTCTGAGTTAAAAGCTGATCTATGGCACTGTCCAACTTTGGCCAATATGTGCTCTTATAGTCTTCAATTGTTATAACATTCATTACTACAAGAAAAAGACAAAACTACATTTAGTAACTTTAGCTAAAAGATTAGAAGCAAGTGAATGCTCTGCAATTTCAGATCACGCCAATAAGCTGGCCAAAAAAACTGGGAACAGTTCACTTCCACTGAGATAACCTCATCTAAAACTAAAGCCCCTACTTGAATTTGTACCTTTTTATTTACATGTTATAACATTCATTACTACAAGAAAAAGACAAAACTACATTTAGTAACTTTAGCTAAAAGATTAGAAGCAAGTGAATGCTCTGCAATTTCAGATCACGCCAATAAGCTGGCCAAAAAAACTGGGAACAGTTCACTTCCACTGAGATAACCTCATCTAAAACTAAAGCCCCTACTTGAATTTGTACCTTTTTATTTACAGAAAATAAAATAAAATCAGAAAACCTGCCAAATCAGGTTGAATATTTCTTAGGGGCCCAAGTAGCAGGGAAAAACAAACTCCTGGGAGTTCTAGCATGACAATATAATAATAATAATAATATAAGAAAATAGTAATTCAGTAGTTAGTTCAGATTAATAAGTTACACAACTTTGTGGGAGTCCAGAATCAACAATTAACACTGGGTCCTCACATGCAGGAGAACAAGCTTTAGCCAAGACTGGTAGTTTTTGGAATACTCCTTCCCAGCGATGTATTAATTTTACAAGTCTCAGGTGGGATCAGCAGCTTCCTTGGCCTAAAAGCTGATGCAATTCCCTCTGCCTTCAATTGCAGTTAGGTTTCCGGGCAACTTTTTTGGATCCATATTACAGTTCCCCCTCTAGCAGGCACACTAATACTCCTTGTCCAGATAAGAATCAACACAGGGAAGAATAGGAGGCATTTAAATTAGCGTTCCCCATCACTCCCTGATTTTCCTTCTGAGCTTCCCAACTGCACCCTCTTGCACAAGCCACTCAGTGTGCCTTCACAGACACAGAAGAGTTTCAATCTCACTCTTTTCAGCAAGGATTTCTGAACTAACCACATGTGGCTCAATTCCAATAGCAGACACGGTAGAAGGGTTAGCACCTTCCCTTCAGAGATGTACTCACAGGACTACCTTGCTGGCTTGTCACACCACCATAGCTTCACAGCAGCCACTCAAAACAAAGCCCTCAGTAAGTAACAGCACAGGGTATACTTCATATCAAAACTATCCAATCCAGGAAATCCACATGTGGGTCTGGGCTATATGGAACAGAGAATAAAGATAGTTCCCACCCCAAACAATCCAATTTAGACACTACACTGAAAAGAAATATTTTGAATAGGGCTGCATTTTAAATACATGTGTAAATGTAGATTCACTGCTGGGTTTGAGGAGCAAGATTTCTGAAATATTATTTTCACAAGGGGTTGAAAGGAGCTGGGTAAGTCACTTTTGGCAGCATTATGAAGAACAATTCTCGGGAAATACAGGCAAAACAGTTAACAGTTATCGTGAGAAGAAGAGTATAAAAAGAACGTGGAATAAACAGATGTGTGAGACAAGAAAGCGTTTGAACGCTATCTGTAAGAGCAGGTATTACAGATTCCTGTTGTGTGTTCTTTTAGGGTATTTCAGCCAGAAACCTTGCTTAGTGAAGAATGTTAGTGCAGTACTCCTAGCCCCCTCTTCACCCAACTAGCCGTTGGTTCACTTTTGCTTCATACCCATTACAGAAACAGATCAGGTTAACATAGTGCCTGATTAGTGAACGGGTCACCACCACCAAATGCTGCAGGATGCTGTCCCAACACTCCAGCCTGCAATCTGAAAGTACGACACTGTTTGCTAACAAGTCAATAAAGGTTACGGGTCCGGGTACACAACTACCAGGACGTAAGTTAACAGGTCCAGCAAGTCAGCTCCATGATGTAAAAGCGTCCATACAGTCAGGAACAGCCCAGCACCTGTCTGACAGTAAATTCACCCCTTATTCATCTGTCTTGCAATGACTTGCTTGAGTTCTTGTCCCTTACAGAGCCCAGGCTCTGGGCAGATGTTCTCAGGAGCAGCTTCCACATAGTAGCTTTACTATTCACGTTTACACTCAGCAGCAAAATTTGAGCATTTGTATTTCACTTCGTTACCCCAAAAAAGGCAGGTCTCCACAGAAGTGCTCTGTTCCACAGAAAACATTAAACTGAAGTCAGCATAAATATTAGATCAAGTCTTGATTTAAGATTTCAATGTATAATCACACCCGCATGTGGTTTAACATATTAAACGAGCTCTATTCATTTGAAAGAAAACAGTCAAATAAGAATTGAGAACACTGCAAAATAATTTTTTAACAGGCTGTTGAGATGTCAGGTTTGGGGTTTTTTTGGTTTTGTTTTGTTTTTTTTTAATATGGAAAAAGAAAGTAGCAGCAGATAGGAAGGTCTGCCCATTAGAACTGCTGCACAGGTAAAAGACAAAATGCTTTTATGAACAGCCCCAGGAGACTTGCATAGGAAACACTGATGAGTTCAAAATAACATTCTAGAAAAGCTTCATTTTTACTCAGAAGACTCTGACAAGTATTATGCCATTTGATTTCCACACTTCAGTTCTGAAACTAAGCCAACCATAATATTTATATAGTTAAGAGTCCAAAGACTACACACTGAACAATCGCTATTTTTATTCTACTAATCCAGAAAACAAATTAATTTTAAATTTTCATAACTGCCACAAGGCAGTAACGTAACACACACACACACACACAAAAAGCAAAGGATGACTTAAAGAAGCACCCTCCAATTACAAACTCTGCAAGAACAAACTCAAGACCAGGAAGGAGAGGAATCACACACACAAATCCTTAGAAAGAAAAGAGAGACTGCCCTTTCAGAAACTTTTCTAATTTTTTACTTTTCCATCTTTTTAAGATGTCATTCTTAAATGTTTATCCCTACACTAGGTATTCAAGATTGAAAAGGATTTGTCCAACAGTCTCCATTTCCAAATCGCAAGGAAAGGGTGACACTAAAAGAGGACTTTCATTTCCTTGAGATTTATTAAGTTTCTGAGAAGCGACACAGACATTTTGTAAGAAAGCATGCCAGAATGCATGATTTTATCCAACTACAGCAAGTTTGGGGTGGGGCTGGGAGAGAAGTCAGTCTGATCAAATGGAGAAGAAGCCAGTATTTTCCAGCAAATTATAAAAGACTTCACAAGTAAAGCTTGAGAAGCAAACTGCTGCTTTTCCATATACAGAAAAGTTCAAAAGAAAAACTGTTTAAGTCAAATGCAGCAGTCAAACCATTTATGTGAAAAAGAATATGCATGAGCTTCATATCATAACCTAGATATTTCAGTACCATAGCCATAATTGAAACACAGCCTGCTCCAAGCTACCAAACTCTTTGATATCAACTTCAATCAGGAGAATGGCAAAAAACACTAAGATTTAAAAAAAAAACAAAACCAAAAAGTCCATGAGTAGGCATATATCCCCCATGAAATTGATACGAAAAAACTTACAAACACACATAGCTCAAAAAAGATGCTACAACAGTAATAGGTGCAGGATATGAAGAATAGAATAATAATTAAAAAAAAAATCTATGATACTGTTGGTTTTGTTATTTAGACGAGACAACTTAACCCGAAAAGCCACTCAAAATATTTACTACTATACTACTTTACTACTATAAAAAGCATCCTTCTTTTAAAACTATAGCTAAAAAAGCAGGGGACAGCATGCGATGGGTAATCCAACCTACTGTCAAGTAAGCAGACATTGGTCTGACAATTATCTGTCATTTATTCCAAAAAAAAAAAAAAAAAAAAAATCGAAGAAAGTAGCTAGGCATCTTTCAGAGGCTTTATTTCATCTCACAAAGTGACATATATGAAGCTTTACTGCTTAATTAGCAATGCACCCTACAATCCTAAAATATTTTGTCGAAGTGTACAAACTCTTCAAGCAGATGTCTGAGACTAATCTATAGACTTGTAGCTATCGCTGTGGCTCCACGCTTTCCTTTTTCTCAGCCGTCATGTGCATGTTTACACAATAGATTTTGTTATACCCCGTGCCTGACACATCCTAGCATACATTAGCAAGTTTATGAATCTGCCCTGTAGTTGCTTTCAATTCTATTCTATTTTTATTACATGTTTCTCAGTCTGCATTAAGACTGGTTAGTAAAAGTAACGTTAAACTTTTTCTTCATCAGACAATTTGCCTAAGCAGCAACGCACATACACTGCACTGAACTACGTCATGCAACAGGGTAGCCAACAGATTTAATGGACATGCCAACGCTCACAGCCACGTGCCCATCCTAAATGGTACTGGCATCAAATACATCTATAACCATCCTTGCTTGAAAAGGATAAAAAAAAACAGGAAGGAAAACTCTTCATTTTTCACCACAATTGAGTTATGCTGCAATTACTACTATGGAAGAGTTTTGATTAAACGGTAAAAGTTCTTACTCTTATTTTCTACCTTATGGCCTTTAAAAAACGTTTTTCATAACACTACTGCTTTATAAATCCATAACTATGACTGAAACTGATCAACTGTAAATAAAGATTTAGTTATAAATTTAACAAAACATGGAAAATCATCTTCATTTTCTTTAACTAGAAGAAAAGCTATTAAATGAACTACGCGTTGTTATTATATCTGATTTTAGTTCTCAGTCTCACCAAAATCTCAAGGAAGGAGAATTGGATTTGGCCCCTTCGAAACAAGAGTTTCCATCTAACCTTCTTCTTCCATTATTCTGCCAGCTAAATTAGACCAAGAAAGGCCTGTCAGACAGCTTTAGTCTGCAACTACAACCACAAACAAAACCAACATGCTACAAGTAATTACATATTGGAACACAGGCATTGGATTTTTTGTTTCAGAGGAAAGATTCAAGAGGAAGAAATCTATCTGAATGTCAGAGGCGCTCCAATGTATCATAGGATTGTTGGAAACCGTACGTAACCCACATTTTTGAAGGTCACCTGTAGGATAACCTGTCTAAGACTAAGCCTCTGCATCATGAAGCAAGGCATGAGTCCTTGCTCGTTCAACTGCAAAAAGTTCTTCGTGCAGCAGAGAACAGAAAACTTCCCTATCAAGCTTAAGACTGACAATCAGCTTCTGCCATTGCTAAGACTGAGCAGGCAGGAGGGGATCTAGCACACACTGTCTCCCTTTTCTTTGTACGTTTACATCAAAAGTGACCTTTCTCCCTTTTCTATACATGAAAACTAAACAGAGGCGATTAAGGGATCCTCTGTCAGAGCCAGGATTAGAACAGGCAGGATCCCAACTCAGCTCCTGTACTTTCTCAGTGCATACTACTTCACTGGATTTGTTCTGTTCATATAGACATACCGTCAAAACTATCCACAACAGAAAGGTGTAGGAAAGTTCTAATGAACTTAACTCAGAGAATTTTGTATTTTACAGGAATTTTAATTTTTTTTAAAACAATACTTAACATCAGTAAGACGGACATTGTGTTGGGATACCAATGCTGGAGAAGTGAAAACAACAACTCAAAAACCACACCCTAAGCAAAAGCATGCACAGCCGCTTCTTCTCCCCCTCAGACATAAATTGTAGGTTAGCTGGAAAGTCACCTTCCCATTTGGTGAAGATCCAGCTTGAAAACCATTTTCACTCTGAAACAGAAGGAAAAACTAAGACTCTCAATTTCTGGATTGAGAATTCAAGAGCTTAGATTAGCAAGGCCGAAAGACATTTCATTTCAACTGTCTCAAGTGTTTACGAGCCACCCCAAGGTACCTGGAGCCCTGACAAGCAGGGCAGGCAGCGAGCCAGAGAGCTCATGGAGTCTGGGAGCCTCAACTTCAAAGCAGCCAGCCTTGGCAGCGTGCCTGGAGCCATGAAACCCAGGCTACCAGAGAAGCAGGGATCCAGAAGCCTGAACTTTGAGAGTCTGATCAGCTCTGGAGCTGAGCTGCTGAGGAGCTGGACAGGTGAGCTAGCACTGTTTTCCCCCCTTTCCCCAAAGAAAAAAGGTGCATTTCCCATCAAAATTTCATCATGGCACTTACACAGTTACACTTCCAGGAATACTTCTAACTAGCCAAATCCAAGTTTTCTGACAGCCATTAGAGAAAAGGGCATATTTTACCCAGAGGCATGACTTCTGGAAATAAAAGCAGAATTGAAATGAACAGCAAAAAAATCTTCCCTTCCCTCAACCTTAGCTCAGCAAAACAACAGAAAATTTGCCACTTCTGTTAAAAGCTACATGCAAAAGATGTTTTGGAACTATTTTTTTGCGGGGTAAATCCGTCTTCAGTTGTTCTCATCAGGACTTTGCAGACATACGCCCCTTCCAGGATAGCACACCCCTTCCAGGGGCTCTGCACACATTGCCATCTGCCGTCAGCGATCACGAACAGGTTTCAGACCCATCTTCGGGTTTTTCAGGCAGAAAGAAAAAGTCTTTAGGAAAACACAACCTGAGCTAAAAGCTTCAGGAAAAGCAACAGTGCCTCCGTACAGCTGAAAACCCTGCCTACACTCGCTCTCCCAGTTCTACAGCCAGATCTACCGCGTCCCTTGCCGTGACAGGAAAGCAGCAGCAGAGGTTGGGCTGCGTGCAAGAAAGGTTATTTTCTCCTTCCACGGCGCTTTAACCCATTTGATTTCGCTTCGAGAAGCCTCTCGGGCCAAGACCCACGTAAGGGACCCGCCGTAGGACATACCCGAGCCCACAGGCGCGGGAGAAGCGAGCAAGGGGCAGAGGGAGCGGCGGGGGAGCGCAGGCCGAGAAGGGAGCGGGTGACAGCGCGGCGGAGCCGCCCGGGAGCGAAGTCCCCCCGTGCGCCCGAGGCCCCCGGGGCGGAGGGCAGGGCGGTCACTCACGGAACTTGGAGGTCGAGGCGTTGATGTTGATGGCGGCGGCGATGGCTCCGGCTCCCCCCTTGCCCGCGGCGCCCCCCGGCTCGCAGCCTCGCAGCACGCCGTTGGCCTCGGGCACGGCGGGGAGC